TCTTCAGTGTACTTGGAATCTCACTAATCCCGTCGATTTAACATTTGTAAATTCGATTTCATGAAAAGCAAATGGGAGAATAAATTACTGTCGATCAAATATGAGCACTTTGGGGTATCTGAAAATCTTATATATGAGGGGAAGTTTTATAGGTAAGCAAAAGTGCAATTTCATATATCTTCTTTTATCTAATACTTGTTAGTCATAATAATATTAAAGCGTCCCACAGGTTGTTTATATGACATGACCGTTTGGGACTACGCAACAAGTGAGTTAAGGCTAGGTATAGGCATTTCTATACAAATAAACTAAATAAAATGCCTAAGGACCAAATCTATTATATAGAGAAAGTAAGAACTTATTGTCTAATACATACAGTACCGACCGGACACAACCTAACACCAGAGCGAACCCAAAGCTTCTTGGGTTCGCTCGGGGTCCATTGCGGGTCCGTTTTCAAAAATGTTGGGACCGCCCTGGGTGCGCTTCGGATTCGCTCTGCGTTTGCTCGCGGTCAGCTCTGGGTCAGCTAGAGGGAACCCGGGTTCGCTTTACGCACTCATGAGTGAAGCGGACCTCCTTTAATCTTGCCTCAAGTAAGCTCCGCCCCTTGTTTTTCCTAAAACAGTAGAGAAATCGATCATTGTTGTTTTTATGGCAATCGGAACATGTACATCTTAGTGACAATTTGGAGAACGTTGATAATTTTTAAAGAATTTCACCGTGCATTCGACGTAGAATTATCAATTTTATTTTTCTTTACTTACAAGTAGATCAAAAAAAAAAAAAAAAAAAAAAAAAAAAAAGGGGGGGGGGGAGGTGTTGAATTTATATTCGATGGATCAGAATTGATAAGAATATCTTAACCATTAAAAAAAATAAAAAAAAAAAAAAAAAAAAAAAAAACTTTCAAATTCATTTGTTAACATTATTCATGCGTGAATAGTTTAAAATCAGTTGGAACTAATTACAATTGCTAAATCGTAATTTAAATGTTTGAAAGACAAACAACTGAATTATGATTTTATCTATGAAATAGCTGAGACATAATGTACACGTGAAATGCTTAGTTTTTATTTTAGCAGTTTAAATTTAAGCTAGGTTGTCGTACATTAAATGTAATTATAGGTCGTGATAATCACAAAAAAAAAAAAAAAAAAAAAAAAAAAAAAAAAAAAAAATCTTTAACTTGAGTTTCGTTCTACAGATCATTTATATTTTAATTCCATGCTATAAATTATTGTTTTATTAGGCGAGTTTAACAGAAAACGTATGAAAAAACAACAACAACTTAAAAAAAAAAACAAAACAAACAAACAAGCAAAAACAAATAACTGGTCCACTGATAAGAATATATTATTTTTTTAAAGTTATTTTCAAATAAATGATCATTTGAATAGTTTCTTCTTGGTTCATGACCCCCCCCCCCCCCCCTCCCGCCCTACTAATACATGTTCATACTGGAGCGGCATGTTAACAAACAAAATTCTAAATGTTTTAAATAAATAAAAATAAGAAAGAAAACAAACAAATAAAGTAACTACGCATGATTTAGTAGATGAAATTAAGATTATAACGCCCGATAATTTTTTTTAATTTAATTTTTTTTTTTAATTTCTATGAGCCCCTACCCCCCCCCCCCCCCCACCCCCGACCCCTCTCCGTACTCGAATCGTTTTCTATGGGCCGGTTGTAGCGAATTTAATTTCAAATAATATACAGTGTTCTCTCTCTCTCTCTCCCCTCCTCTCTCTCTCTCGTAAACCGATTTTACTGATTTTCAGCAATCAGATGGCAGCAAATTACATAAACATGTACACTTCATACAAAGCACCAAAGAAATATGATGTTTCCAAATTCAATAATAATAATAATAATAATAATAATAATAATTATTATTATTATATTTCTCATTGATAACATGCCCAGACGAGGTAACTTAAAGGGCATGAAGGGTTTATAAAAGATCCGAATTTAGGGGGAGTATAAACTCAGGTATACCGTGACCATGGAGACAGTATACATCCAGCAAGCAAGTTACACCTCCAGTAGATAAGAACTATGACGTCATAATGTGTACTGGCTATAACATATTGTGGGTATTAAGTATATGTATAAGAAAATAAATCAAAACTTTTTCTGATTAATAAATATACCTCTTATGCGTTTTTATTAGCTCATTTACGTAGAAACGCCTCTACCTAGCTTTAACTCACATGCGTTGCGTGGGGTCGAAATCCTAGCATAAGAGTATTTCATGTGAATATAAAGTTCAACTTGTTTTTCTTTTATTTTTCTATGAGGAATTAAACTGGAGGTCAACTGGTTACTCGGGTGATCATTGTGATCGAAGAGCCTCTTGTTCTATTTAATAAGAGTTTTCAAGCACTACCATTTTAGTGTTACTTAATGTGTCCAGAGAGTTTGACCCATTTCGTAAAACCCTTTCCCGACGCTTTTCTCACTCCGAATTGAATTAAACAACAAACTCTGCAGCCATTTTTGTTAACATTTATTTCTGGCTCAAAATTAATATTTCCGCTACTTTTCGCACTTAAGTGCAATGTTTTATACTTTATATATTATTTTTCATACTTAAAAAAGTTGGATGCAGTTGTCGTAGAGTTACGACAGATTTTGCACTAGGACTTTCTTGGGAATTTTTGTTACAACGATTTTTATCAAAATCTTTCATTTAAGACAAAAAAATGTCGTTATTTTTTTTAGTTAAAAGGTCGACTGTTGTGTAAACATATAATCTCAAGTGTTCTAGGAATCTCACTCATCTTTTATCAATTCGACTTCATGAAAAGCATAGCTATGCATGCAAATGGGAGAATAAATTACTGTCGATCAATTTTAAGCAATTTTGAGTATCTGAAGTTCTTATGAGGGGAAGTTTCATAGGTACATGAAAACAAAGGTGAGATTTCATAGCTTTTCCGAGAATTTCTTTCTTTCGATGAATTATCGAATTGGAATGTCAAAGGAAAAAGTATTGAGATAAAAAAAATTACCGTAGATGCTAACAAACATACATTGTACCTAGATTTTATCCCATCATATGCATGAACTTGGGAAGTAGACCCTGGAGAAGCAGGTAATCAGAATCTTCTATTGTGTTTAAATCATGTTATAGATACGATAAAAAGGAAAGAAAAGCTACGCGGAAATAATGAAATAATGGCTATATGGGAAAATTCGGATTTCGAACAGTTTTACTATACATTGTTTGTATCAATACTTATGGTCATAAATTTATTATTTTTATTATAAATTTATTATTAGGGCTATGAGTCTTGAAGAAAAATAATCCTTATCAGCTATTGTAAGGATTGTAAAGCGTACTTAAATCGTAGAGATGTAACAAGATTTCTCCAGTTCAATGTATAACGCATGCGTGAAAAACACCTAAGAATTTTATATCTTAAGATAACATTTTTGGAAAATCTTTAGATTTTCTTTTAAGAAGACAACTTGTCAATTCACAAAAATACGTGAACAATATTTTGATAACGTTGTCTGTAGAAACCAAGTAAAAGTTTTTTTCATTATATTTGACATGCACTTCAGACGCCTGTTCAACAGAGTGATCGTTCACAAGCGCTCGCCAAAATTCCTTGTCCCCCCAACAAAAATGTTTGCGAGCGCTCGTGACGTTTGCTCTGTTGAACAGGCAATATAATTCAAAGGCATAAACAGGATATGAAAAGAAAATTTGGATTTTTTGGCCAGGTGAATATCAAATGAAGTATGGGAAAATATCCATAAACACCGATGCTGAAAAAAAAAAAAAAAACTTTGACCATGTTATTTCACGAGTGAAGAAACTGATTCAAAGTTTTCAAAATATGAAAGTGTGACTTGCTCTCCGAGCACCAAACACATTTGTCAACTTTTTATTTTAATATTCTCATAGTATGTTATTGTTGTTCAACTAAGATTTTACCTGAGACCTTTTTTTCTATTGCAAATGAGTTTCCATTTGCTGAATGTCTCTGTTTCCTGTCCCATGCGAAATCAATTAATTGGAGGCTGAATCTTTTTAAGATCAAACTTTTGACTTTAATTTTTTTTTTTACACAAATACTGGACTCATATTGAAGAATCAAAATTATTGATTCCGTTTGAGAGAGATATTGTGATTTATGATTTGAATTGTGATTTCTAATCAAGCCTTTTATCGAGTAAGATTTACACAGATTAATTAACATTTATATATTTTTGAAAATAAATCTTTATTTTCATGCATTTTTATTTTTATACACATCCTAATACATCTTTTTTTATATGCAAGGAAAGAAGAATAAAAGTAATATTTTCATTTGCTGCACAAAAGTTTTGTGAAAAAAAAATTAAAAAAAAAAATGAATCTTTACATATTTTAGTCAACCTGCAAAAATAATTTGATGGAAAATTTTAAGAAATTCAGAAGTTATTTATAACTTTAAACTGACATTTAATAGGATGCCCTACACCAAGTTTTTATGGAGAAAATTGTACTTTTCGGTGTCCACAAAATTGCCAGGAGGGACATTGTAACATTGTGGATGGAACGTGTCTTGGATGTGTTGTGGGGTACAAAGGTTCACGATGTGTAGAACGTATGTAGTCACAAACAATGCAGTGATGGTAATCTTTGAGAGAGAGAGAGAGAGAGAGAGAGAGAGAGAGAGAGAGAGAGAGATTTTTCTTAAAATGTATTTTAGTTAACTTTCGTGCATTGATTTAAATTTGTAAATAAACTTTGTCCCAAATAGTAAATTATAAATATTTTACAAAATGTAATTATAAAAGATCGTTCATTCCAGGCCATGTATTGAATCGGTGTTATGTCATATAAATACAGTAGTTGCTTATTAAAGTAACTACACATGTCTTATTTACTTTGGAACTTTAAATGGTTACTTAGTGAGGATGAGATTTCTAAATTACAATTGGTAATAACATTAAAAATATTGAAATTTTTATATAAATGCAATGAATTTTATAATTTTCAGAATGTGATAATAATAGATATGGCTTTGAGTGTAAGCTGATTTGTGGTAACTGTAGTGATGGAGAACAATGTGATCACGTGAACGGAAGTTGTCCAAACGGATGTGATTTTGGCTCTCAAGGAGATATATGTGACAAAGGTAAAATATTGCTTTTTATGTATTTTTTATACAAAATATATGTGAAACTACAGAGATCTAGTAGTTTGTTTTAATAGCATGTACATATGTAATGAATTTCTTTAAGAGACAATACGAAAAAAAGACTATATCAAATATCAAATATACGAATAGCCTTTTTAGACTTTTGTTGTTGTACATGTATGATATAGAATTCAGGAACTGTAAGTGCTATGATATGCCATTTAAGTAGTCAATCTTTATACAAAATCCTCAGTCCTGCTTAATTTGTTGTATGTTACTCTTCACCTACTTTTTTCCTGACTTTAACAAAAAAAAAAAAAAAAAAAAAAAAAAAAAAAAAAAAAAAAAAAAAAAAACCTTCCTAATATTATGTCGTTGACGTTTCCATTAGAAAAAAAGAAGATTTTTTGTAATTTCTAGCATTCATATATTAATACTTAAAATTAAGTTATGTAGCATTTTATTATAGTGTTTTCAAACGAAAGCATAGCGTGAATTATGGAAATTATATCTTTTTTCTTTGAAAAAAAAGGTTCTGTTGGCAAATTTCATTGTAGACTCTTAACCGTAAATTTGAACTTTTTATATTTTATAGAGGTATTTCTTCATTAATTACATTAGTGGTAATAACTAAGCAGTTGAAGACATCATACGCACCTGGTTTCTCTAGTTGATCATTTAATTATTTTTTAACTTTTAATACACTTTTTTCAATCATTTTACCTTTCTTATTTTCTGACAGCTTGTCCATTTGGTAGATATGGTAAGAATTGTGTCGAGATTTGCAAACCAAATTGTAGAGGCTGTAACAGATTCACTGGTGTCTGTGAGTTTGGATGTAACGATGGATGGAAAGGAAGTTTCTGTGAGAAAGGTACTTTTTCCTTTCTTGCTTAAAAAATTCTTAAAAATCAACTGATTGGTATGAATTTGATAATTTTCCTTTTAATCAAATTGCTAGAAAAGCAATAATAAAATATATTTTTGAAAAATGCAGAATGCGATGGACGGTAAAAACTGCAGTATCTCATGTGGTTCGTGTTTGAATTTCGAAAAATGTCATCATATCAATGGAACGTGTTTAGAAGGATGTGACAGAGGATTCCAGGGAGAGCAATGCAAAGGCGGTTAGCAAAAATGTGTTTACATTCGAAAAAACATTTTATTTTCTAACATTGTTTTCAGAATATGTTAAAAGATAACAAAAGCTTCGATACAGTAATCTATGCAAGAAGTCAGATTCTTTATTTTTTTTTCTTTTGACATATGACAATATCTGAAATAATCAAAGAGGTCTTTGGAAAATCAATAAGAACATTTTGTTGGCGGTTTTATCATTCTTTCCAGGTTTACCTAGAAATTATTTTTCCCGTTCATATCTCTTTGTATATATAATATTAGGCAACGCATGTGAGTTAAGGCTAGGATTAGGCGTTTCCATGCAAATGAGCTAATAAAAACACATAAGAGGTATATTTATTATTCAGAGAAAGTTTTGATTTATTTTCTTATGCATACTTAGTACCCACGATATGTTATAGCCATTACACATTATGACGTTATATTATGACGTCACTGATCTAACCTAATAAATAACATCAACAAAACAGCTTCGGCGCAAGGTATTAGCCTATTTATCTTTAAATTAGAATTGTATAATGCTAAGAAGAGTATTCTATAGAATAATTAAACAGCTGCACAAATCCTTGGCATTTTTTCATTTGATCGGAATTTGAAGAAACTTATTTCGGACGGTACATTTTTACCCTTATTCAACTAAAAACTTTACAAATAGAAATGATACAACTGAGCTGTTGATGTTTGTGCAGCAATACCAGCAAACTTTGGAATAAATTGCTTCTTAATACACCTTGATTCAGTTAAATAAAATAGAGCATGCCCTTGCGCCGAAGCATTTTTGTTGTTTTGCATTATAATCTTGTGTAGTAAAGAACATTGACGTCATAATATTACGTCATAATGTGTACTGGCTGTCTCATGCCGTGGGTACCAAGCATGTATTAGACAATAAGATTTAACTTTCTCTGTATAATAGATATAGTTCTTAGGCATTTCAATCAGTTTATTTTCATAGAAATGCCTAAACTTAGCCTTAACTCACCTGCAAATATATTTTTAGGCATTTTTTACAATATTTTCTGGCGTCTTGTGTACAGTCAAGCAGACAAAGCAATCATTGTTGAAGAAATTTATTGCAGAAATAACAATAATAGTTTCTTTAATGCTTATGTTTTTATGTCCGCTTAGAATGTCCAGTGGGACGTTTTGGCTTCAACTGCCAGGATATTTGCAGTATCAATTGTGGAGTTCCTGGTACATGTAATAGAGTTACAGGACAATGTGAAGGCGGCTGTCAGAAGGGGTGGAAAGACATGCAATGTGACAAGAGTAAGCTCTTTCCATGCATCTAATATTTTTTTTTTTTTTTTTTTTTTTTATCAAAAATGTAACCAGCCATTCTATCACAATCTTTCATAAAGAGAAACGGATATCTAGATATATCTAAGTAAAAGATTAAAGTTTCCCAACGAATATCACAGTGCATTCAACTAGGCATACTTCGACTCAAGTTAGGAGTATGACATACCACTGGAGTCGCCCGCTTGGCGCAGTGTTAAGAGCGTCTGCTCTAGAGTTGCGAAGTAAGAAGTTGATCCTTACGTCGCGGGTTTGAATCCCACTGTGGGACGTGGAGACCGGTCCTTCGGATGAGACCGTATAAACCGAGGTCCCGTGTCACAGTAGGTGCTGGCACGAAAAAGACCCCCACACTGCTCAATGGCCGTAAGTGCCGAGTATAGGCAAAATTTGCAGCTCTCAACCGGCAAGTGGTGGCGTCTCCATATGAGTTTAAAAATTCTCGAGAGGGACGGTAAACAACATACAAACAAACAAACATACCACTGGAAGCTTGATTTTGTGCATAAAATAGACTGGTGTAGGTGATTAAAAAGTATTAACGTATCCGGATATTCATGAGAATAGTGTTTTTTCTAGCCGAATCTTTCTATGGAAAATGTATAATTACATCTCCTTAATATACATTACGATGCAGAATGGAACATATCTTCAAAGGGGCTGCCTAGTTGAAATTCACATGACATATTTTCTACACGTGTTATACTTTTTCTTCTCCCTTTGAAGTTTTGTTATGCAAGGATAAGATTTGATCATTTATGTAATAAAAAGTCATTAATAATTGTTTTGATCATCTTCATCGAAATGATTTATTTCTTAGCATGAAATAATATTAATGTCTATCACGTGATCAACAAAGTCACGATATACTACAACAATTGATTTTTGTATATAGCTTAGAAAAAATTATATGCAGATTGTCGGTGTTTGTGTTTATAGCTTTTAAATTAGAATGAAAACCTAATTTGTAATGTTTGTAATGTTGAAAATGCATTTCATAACTTCGGGAAGCCTGAGCATATTAGCAATTATCAAATGTACCAAGTGTGAACACCACCATTCCACACAGTTTAATATCAATGTAGAAAACATAAAAAAAGGTTTGAATAAATTTCGAATTAAAACAAAAATGTACCGATTAATAGATTCGATTCTAATAATTGTTTATATTGTTACTATGAGAAATGTTGACTTGGTTTACTTTCTATCCGATTTCGCTGGACATTGCTTTGTGTAAAAGTCAGGTATATTTAGTCCCCAAAAGTTCCTTTATGAACATACAAAAAAATGGCTTATAAATTTATTGTTTTTATTCAAAGAATGTGACCGTGGTATGTTTGGACTAAACTGTAATCAGTCATGCGGGGTTTGCCTTGGAAATGAACAGTGTCATCATATTAACGAGACATGCATGGATGGTTGCGACAAAGGTTACCAAGGAATGAACTGTGCACAGGGTAATGTTTTGAAGGTTACATATAAAAATTATGAAATAGTGATAGAACTAGCATATTCTAACTTGTATACAATATTATTAAAGAGATAAAAACATGTATAAGTAATACAATCAAGCTAAAACCAAACCGTATCTAAGGTATTCCCCAAACATCTCTCAACGAATAACAGTTGATCACAGGAAATCTGTTTTTATTAATAAAAATAAATATATATTTTATTAAGGGGATGTTTTTTTCTTAGCATGTCCGAACGGACTTCATGGATACAACTGCGATGAGACATGTAGCGCCGATTGTTTAGTTCAAAAGAGTTGTGACGCAATAACAGGACAGTGTAGTGGTAATAAAAGAATACATAATTTCTCGATTTTTTTCCTTTTCATTATTGTAATAAATTTATTCTGTTTGCAGTTGAGCAGCATATCCCCAGTTTAAAATTCATCTTTGTAGAGCATTAGATTTATTCTCCTACTGAAATCTTTGTACAACATTGATTATGAAATCTTTTACTACCTGACTTTTACTTTGATAATCTTGAAAAACGAATAGAAACTACAAGCTTTATGACTTTAACTTTTCAATCGTCAACTTCCCTTACCTATGCAGCGATATACCCTAAACATCTGCATACGGAATTCATATCTCTAAGTTGATTCAATACGCAAGAGCATGCTTTACATATGAACAATTTCTAAAACGAGGGAAGTTATTGACAGACAAGTTGATGAAACAAGAATATCAACAGTCTCGTTTAAAGTCACCGTTTCGTAAGTTCTATGGTCGATACAATGACCTTGTAAGCAAATAAAATCTACATTAAGTCAAATGCTGACTGACCTGTTTCATACTATTTGTTAGACCATTATTTACACACTGAATTGTCGACGGATTTTCCCGTTATTTCCCCATCATGATAAGGAGCACACGGTGGGTGAGATCGGTCGGCAGGGGGTGCTCACTCCTCCATGGCACCTGATCCCATCTCTGAAGTTTTAGAGGTCCGTGTTTGTTTTGTCCTTATTTTGTAATGTTTAATTGACTTTTGAGCTCGAATACTGATCGATATCTCCACATATTTCATTAAGACGCAAATATATATAAAGCACTACAATTTTTTTTTTTATTTTTTACTTTTTTAAAAACCTACTCCACGGTGTTGAATTTACTGTTCTTGACAAGGGTATTAAAATAAACGCTATGGATAACCGTCACGCAAGCTCACACTGTAGACCGCTCGCTCCGTTATCAGAAGATCGTGGGTTCAATTGACTTAAGTCGATACCGTATCTAAGGTATTCCCCAAACATCTCTCAACGAATAACAGTTGATCACAGGAAATCTGTTTTTATTAATAAAAATAAATATATATTTTATTAAGGGGATGTTTTTTTCTTAGCATGTCCGAACGGACTTCATGGATACAACTGCGATGAGACATGTAGCGCCGATTGTTTAGTTCAAAAGAGTTGTGACGCAATAACAGGACAGTGTAGTGGTAATAAAAGAATACATAATTTCTCGATTTTTTTCCTTTTCATTATTGTAATAAATTTATTCTGTTTGCAGTTGAGCAGCATATCCCCAGTTTAAAATTCATCTTTGTAGAGCATTAGATTTATTCTCCTACTGAAATCTTTGTACAACATTGATTATGAAATCTTTTACTACCTGACTTTTACTTTGATAATCTTGAAAAACGAATAGAAACTACAAGCTTTATGACTTTAACTTTTCAATCGTCAACTTCCCTTACCTATGCAGCGATATACCCTAAACATCTGCATACGGAATTCATATCTCTAAGTTGATTCAATACGCAAGAGCATGCTTTACATATGAACAATTTCTAAAACGAGGGAAGTTATTGACAGACAAGTTGATGAAACAAGAATATCAACAGTCTCGTTTAAAGTCACCGTTTCGTAAGTTCTATGGTCGATACAATGACCTTGTAAGCAAATAAAATCTACATTAAGTCAAATGCTGACTGACCTGTTTCATACTATTTGTTAGACCATTATTTACACACTGAATTGTCGACGGATTTTCCCGTTATTTCCCCATCATGATAAGGAGCACACGGTGGGTGAGATCGGTCGGCAGGGGGTGCTCACTCCTCCATGGCACCTGATCCCATCTCTGAAGTTTTAGAGGTCCGTGTTTGTTTTGTCCTTATTTTGTAATGTTTAATTGACTTTTGAGCTCGAATACTGATCGATATCTCCACATATTTCATTAAGACGCAAATATATATAAAGCACTACAATTTTTTTTTTTATTTTTTACTTTTTTAAAAACCTACTCCACGGTGTTGAATTTACTGTTCTTGACAAGGGTATTAAAATAAACGCTATGGATAACCGTCACGCAAGCTCACACTGTAGACCGCTCGCTCCGTTATCAGAAGATCGTGGGTTCAATTGACTTAAGTCGATACTAATTAGGTACATTTGTAGCAACTATTTCCTTGCGAAGCGCTTGACACTTTGAATTGAAAGTAGCATGTCTTCGTCTTTATGAAAATGCATTTAAAACAGAACAAATACATTTGTTTCACTTTATAGTTAAGTGTTTCCCTGTTGTTTATTATTATTATTATTATCATTTTGGTTCCTTGATGTTTTGCTTCGATTATATTCTGTTTTAAATATTTTCTGTCAAAACCGTATGAAGTTTGTTCGTTTTTTAAATGGATTTTAAACCAGGGTCATCTGGAAAACAAATAAGCATCTTATGTAAGGTATTTCAACAACTGTTTTCATACATTTGTTTTGTTTTTGATGTGATACATCTTGAAAACTCACTTACATGTAACTCGATTGGATCATTCTTTGGGAAATGAATGTATTCTGGGTGTACGAAAGTCATGTGGTTTTGGTTATTTGTCGTTAAACATCCATTTTCGCCGTGATCTTGGTCGGGGAAGTAGAATAAAGGTAGTGTACAAACGAACAGCAAATGGTACTACAGGTAATGAGTAAAAGGCTGCTGTCCACAAATGTTCATATAAATGAAGTTGTATTTTTGGTCTTAAAACCATCTTGTTGTAACTGAAAATTGTTCCTTTGATAAGAATATTTTATTGCAATTTTATATTCATTATATAACATATATTTTGTTTTTTGTAATTACAGTCATATCTTCAGATTCTGAAACGAACAGTCAGTGCTATCCATCTCTTTACGGAGTGGTTTCCACTCTTTGCTTAAGCTTGGCTTTAAATATTTTTCTCCTTATCTGGTGGGTTTAATTTACTTTTACCTTCTTTCAATATCAAAACTAGTTTATGAATTTTGTAAAAAAAAAAATTAAATATTAAAAATAAAAAATTAAAAATTACCAATCCACTGTAATGTGATATCATTTCATATCTTTTGATTTCAGGATTTCTAGAAATAGAGTATGTAAAGGAATGTGTCAAGAAGAAAAAAGTACAAAACAGTTGTCCACAGAACACAGCAAGCCTAACACAGAGATCTATGATAAAGTGGAAGACAATGCAGGATACCAGGAACTGGGTCAAATAAGTCAGCCTTCTCATTATGATAAATTACATTAGATTGACGTGATAAAAGTTATCGAATGCTATATTTGATCCTGATATTATAATCCAATTAAATGTTTGAAACTTGATTCAGTGTTTGATAATGGAATAAGGCATGTACACAAAATGGCTTTCAAAGGAGGAAAATTATTGATATATATATATATATATATATAAAATCATCATTATTCAACATTAAGAAAATAATAATAATGTGAAAATGACAAACTCGATGATAAGATTTTGAGAAACAAATGTAATATATTGTATGTTTTGTACAATAATGAACAAGTTATGTTTCATATTACGTAATCTTTAAAAGTTGTTCATTTTTATGATAAATTTCATTGTTATTTTCAACATTTTAGTTATTTAACTGTCACGATTTTTGGGAGAACCTCTTTTGTATAGCTGAATTTATTTATTTATTTATTTTTTATTCTCTTTGGAGAGACATATATATATATATATATATATATATATATATATATATATATATATATATATATATATATATATATATATATATATATATATATATATATATATATATATATATATATATATATATATATATGTATGTATGTATGTATGTATGTATGTATGTATGTATATATATATATATATATATATATATATATATATATATATATATATATATATATATATATATATATATATATATATATATATATATATATATACATATACATTTGAAAGTGAACATTATAGAATAGTTTGAATAGCAATCATGTATACATTTTGAAGAAATGTGATTTTCCAATGTAGGTGCTGGCACGAAAAAGATCCTTCACTGCTCAATGGGCATGAGTGCCGAGTATAGGTCAAAATTTGCAGCTCTCCACCGGAAGTGGTGGCGTCTCCATATGAGTGAAAAATTCTCGTAAGGGACGTTAAATAACAAACAAACAAACATTTATACTCTCAAATACTTCTTGATATTTCTTTTAAAAAAAATCCTGATTTATGTTCGTGTGAATAAAAGTAGATAGTAAATTTGTTTTAATCTCAGACTGAATTTCAAATTCGTACTCGTATTCTTAATACATTATATATTGTTTTATCGAAGAAGGGACTTTGCTGATTTTATATCACAATTCAACGTTTTAATGTATTCAGCTCAGCTATGCAACTGATACTATTTCTATGTGGACCTTTAAAATGAATTTAAAACAATATTCTTAATGTAAATAAATTTCTTTCGAATTGTGACATTGATTTTTTTTTCTGGCTGTTTGGTTTTGTTTTGTTTGTTTGTTTTTTTTTTTTTTTTGTTTTTGTTTTTTTTACCTATAAAACAATATGACAGTAAATAAAACTGGAAACAGAAATATCAATTAAAAATTTCTTCAGGATCTGTACGGATCTTGATGACCTTCATGTGACCTTTATTAGGTATAAAAAGATTTTTTTTTCTGAATATCTTTAAAATTAGGTACAGATTTCATAAATATTTCCCAAAGCCAAACATAATTTATCTGGGGCTATCTGCACAATATTTTAGCTAGTATAAAGAAATAACGCATAGATCTTAGTTTAAGCTATTTGGCACAGCTTCATGAAAAACATAAATTAAAAAAACTCATTAGATATCTAAGTCAAAACTTATTTTGGATGGTAAAGAAGTTTGATGTAAATTTATATTTCCTTTTGAAAAAAAAAAATCGTGGTCTTCTCTTACAAGAGCCTCGATCAACAATATGATTAAGTAATTACACATAATGCATAAAATGCTACATGGACGAAAAATTGCATGCAGGTAATTTAATATTTTTTTAAAATTCAGGTCATTTTATAAGTTACACAAAGATCAACATTGCAGTGGCTAGAAGAACAAAATACTGAAAATTTAGACTGCACTCAGTAGTAATGGGTACTAGGAAAATTATCATTTATCATGCATCCTGTTATTGGGTCGTATTCTTACTAATATTTTTCAGACCAATTGTTGGGGCATTGTATTTTTACTTCATTTAACCATGGAATATTTCGTTTACCTTATCAGTATGTAGAGTTCAGGGATGGTGTGACTGGCAGCAGGGGATACTAACTTATCCTAAGCGCAGGGCTCCGTAGCACGAAAGTAGGATGATCATTTAGAAGTGAGACTAGGTTTTTTGTTTTTTTTTTAAAAAAGTGAGATTGTCTAGGTTTCATGGTCCCGGATCCAAATGCCACCTCTGTTTTTTTTTTTTTTCAAGGGACCGAGTTAAATGCCCTGTTTACATATTTATACTGTTTGCAGATTTTCTGTGATCGATCACTGTTCGTTATCTACTTTTTTCATTGCTTTAAGACTATTAGTTTTATGATTATTTAATTTGATAACATTTCATTTAAAAGATTTCAAAATGCAAGATATAAGCCCGTGTATTATATTACAATTCAGCTGCTTGCCTTGTTAACTTGCAATTTAAAATTAATTTTTTATCAAGGTCGTGACACTGATACACGATTATCATGGAGACTGGACAAAAATAATCTCTCCTACTTGTCGATGAATTGCATATTGGTTAGGAGTAAAAATCAACGCTATATCATTCTGCGTTATACTTTACCCTAGCCAAAGGATCGTGTTTTTCTGAGCAAGCAGTATCAAATATCAATTCTTGTCGTTAGTCGTTTGTAAACTTTTCACATTTTCACCTTCTTTTAAGAGGAAAATGTACAAATATAAACCAAAATGGTAAATAGATTTTAAATTAGATTCAGGTTTACTCAAATACATAAGGCCTCTAGTCGCCAATGCAAATATCTAGTCGCCAGGCAATTTTTTAAGGCGCCAACTTTAAAAGCTAATAGTAATTAATTTAGGAACCTATGACGTGAATAAGAAGACAAGGCATGTCCATTGCTTAAAATAATATCCTCTTTTTTCAATTTCTTTTCAGAAAAATTGTTAAAAATGTTAAAATTTCCGGAATCCGGCGATCGCCAAGTCAATTTAAAATGGTCGCCATTTTGGCGACTTATGGAAATTTTTTAGGATTTTAGGCGCCATCGCGACTAAATTAGTCGCCAATTAGAGCCCTGTACATGTCAAGGGCTCCTTTTTTTTTTTTAAAGAAATCGTGATAAATTGGTCATATACTCTTGTATCCTTCCCCCAAAAAGACATCAGAACGTATAACTTGCAATGTCCGTCTGAATATGATGTTTCAGACGTTATATTTTCATATGGAAGAAAAACGATAATATCGTATGTACAACGTAAGCTGTTGCGACCTGTGTTACAGAAGTACAGAACATTAAAACAGCGAGAAAGTTTTTAGGCTTTAATAGAATATAGAGATGGTAGTTATTTGATTAGAATTTTTTTTATGCATTTCTGCTTATAAAATACATCACGTATGGAAATAGCTTTTACACAAGCAAATTTCTGCCAGGATATACGGCAACACTTGCTTATAAGTAGATTATAAGTCGTTTGTAAGGAAACCTTGATCAAAGAGAAGTTGTATCTATTCTCTGTCCCTCAGTTTTAAGCAATTTAATATAAATACGAGGGGTGATCAAAAAGTTCGCGAACTAATTGAATTACTTCCTTAAAAGAAATAAAAAGAGGTTTCAGAGTTCATTATTTTTAAAGTAGTCCTTTCCGATTTTAATGCACATCTGCCATTGTTCTGTCCATGCTCGAATCACGTGATCCAGGCGATCACGTGGCATGCTCCGTAGCGGTCTGTTCACACAAGCTAAGAGATTTTTCCGAGTCTTATATTTCTAACGATGCAAGTTCTTTTTTATAACAAGAACAGACCATCAGTCAGAAAATAACAAATCTCGGCAAAAAGAAGGTTGGATAAGGATATTCCCAGCATTTGCAGGGTGACCATGACAACCCGAGTCCTCTGTCTCGGGAGCGTCGTTTATCCAATGTAGAAAAAAGTATTCGAGCCTTCTTTTTTTCATATCTCATTTGTTTAAAGTCTAAAGTAAACGATATTTTAAGGAATTAATAATTATATCATTGTTTTGATATTCAACTATTTTTCTAATTGTAACTTGGCGATCTTTTAAAACAAGTTTTTCAACTACGGACACATCTTTTCACCGGATTGCTTTCGCTGGGCAACAGAACAAACATCATTTTTTACCATCTCCCTGCCTTCACTAAAACAATCAATCCAATCAATGATTGATTTTCTGGTAAGTCTGATGTCTTCATAAACCTTGTACAAATTATATTATTCTACTGCAAAACAATTTCTGAGAAATACGTTAAACTTTACAGCCGTTCGTTGCTCGAGTACGACCGAGTCAACCATTTTTTGTCACAAGTCACTTACATATTGACGTCATTTTCACATTGTGACGTAACAAACAGGGAACAAAACATTATATAACATCTGTTATTTATAGAACGTTTATCACTATTATGTGTGCCAAATTTCATTCTGATCTGAATTGTGGTTTTGTAAGTATAGAGATAGTTCGCGAACTTTTAGATCACCCCTCGTAATTTTGTTACTTAACTGTCAAAAAAAAAATCATTGAAACAGTCAGCAGTACTCCAGTTCCCCAAGAACAAAGCCTAGCTTGCTCAGTTTCGCCGCGAGAGAAAGGGTTGCTCTTTGGGAACTAGAATCTTGCGCTTACCCACTCAGAGATAAACTTCAACTGTGTTATTTTACCGATACTAAAAATAAATCAGAGAACATGTAAATTAATATAATATTAATTTGATTCTTGAAGTTCTTTATCACCAACAGAACAAATCCACCATACACCAGTCCTCCCCAAATACTTCATACTTTCTCCAATATCCCCAAACTGGGAACTTATCATATTTTATTTTTCTTTCGCTACTGTAAACTGGTTCTTACAAGTACTTGTTCACTCTTGGAGAAATTCTAATTCATAATAATATTCGCGATTTTATTCGAAACAGATCGCAATGTTTCATAAAATGAAATTAAATTGGTGAGAAAAATAGGTGGGTATCAGTTCATCAAACTGAGTCCACCTTTAGTAGGGAATTACTGTTTTTACGATTAGGGAATCAGTACAATATATTGATTTACT